CTTTATTTTTAGACAGATTTCTATCCACTACAACAGGGCTTTAGATCTAAAAGCACTTGTCTTGGTTATTCTGGTTTGAGTACAGTAATGAAGTGAAAAGTAACTATTTACCCTTTACAGGGGCGTCAGCTTAAGTCGATTCTGCTTTTGGATTAAAGAGAAGGGTGTCTCAAAACATGATGTACTGTTTCTGCGTTGTCATTGTAAAATTAGTAATGCTTTCAGAGCTGGTCTTCTGTAATCGGGGTTGAGCACTATAGTTTTATGTGCTATATGGATGTCAGACATTATTATTATTATTAGATGAGCAGAGTAAGTTTGATTCCCTGTAAAGACTTCTCTGTTGACACCCACCCCTTGGCGCTCATATGACCTTATGCAGTTGCGAGCGCCGTGAAACCCTCTACTATAATAGATTTTTAAAAGTCAGACTGTTAACACATTGAGTGTCCCACTGAGTGCGTTCACTGAGAGAAATCTAGGTTTCAATAAACATTAAAGGTAGTATATTCAGTCTTTATAATTTGTCTCTGGTCTCAGGACATCGTCCAGTCGGTTCATTTGCTGCTACGACAAAGACACGGGAGAGCTCCTCAACGCCCTCGACGGCTCCGGAGGTGGGACTGAAGAGCGCTACAGCTACCGCACGTCGCCGAGCAGCCAGATGTCGCCGAGCAGCATTCCGTACATGAGTTACATGTCGCAGGACGTGGCCCCGTACCTCCACTGCTGTGCCTTCTCCTCCAACCAGACACTGTGCGACCAGTACCTTCAGCTACGGAGGCCCGTGGGCTGCCAGGGTTACTCCACTCCCGCCGCCGGTCAGTGGCTTTGAATTTATAGACGAGGAAGAAGGGAGCAAAACTGTGGCTTTCTTTCTATTCTTATTTCTCTCTCTCTCTCTCTCTCTCTCTCTCTCTCTCTCTCTCTCTCTCTCTCTCTCTCTCTCTCTCTCTCTCTCTTTCTCCCCCTTTCCACCCCAACTTACATTTTTCTGTCATCCCAACTTTCTGCTTCTGTCTATCTGCCTGTCCCTGTCTCTCTCCCTCTCCCTCTCCATCTCTCTCTCTCGCCCTCGCTCTTGTTCTCGCTCTCTCAAGTTCAATTCTTTTTTTTATTCATTCAGAAAAAAAATTAATTTTCAAAGTGGAGACCATTTTGAAATTTATCGTCATTTCTCTCTGGTGAACAAAAAAAAGGTTTTGTGGAAGTAGATGTAACTCTGAAACGTAATGACATCCCTGCGAACTGTTATAGGCATTATTAATTTGTAAAAAGAAGAAAAAACAAATTTTATAATGTCTTTAGTGAATATGTGAGCTTATGGTGAATATGTCAGCTTATGGTGAATATGTCAGCTTATGGTGAATATGTCAGCTTATGGTGAATATGTCAGCGAAATACGGAGACATCTCACAAAGAGCTACTTTTCATCTTTTGTGTTTGTTTCCCCCATTCCCCACCTTGTCTCTCTCTGAGCTTCAGCTCGGTCCGAAGTTGTGTCCTGGGGAAAGGCACTTTACACACGAATTTCCCATTTGGCTCGGTCGTTTCGGAGATGGGCGTTAAACTCGGAGGTCAATAACCAAATTATGATGATGGTAGGGGCGTTAAACTTGTACCATTTCACCAATTTTAACTTGTCCCTCTCCTCAAAACAGCTCAAGCGGCGGGTGACCCACATATCGTATCGCTTGACGGGCTCGGCTACACCTTCAACGGGGTTGGAGAGTTCTACTTACTCAGGGTCAAGGACACGGAGGCTGTGGTCCAGGTGCGGGCATCCCCGGCGGAGGACGAGGAGGGCCGAGTCCAGAACGCGACCGTCTTTTCGGCGGCGTGCATGTGCGCGGGCAACGAATCGGACGTCCTGGAGATTCAGCTGGACGCGCAGGAGGCAGGCGGCTACTCCGTCTTGGTCAACTCAGAGCCGTTGGATCTCACCTCTTCTACTACCTCAATTTTTTCCGGTATGTATAGGCTGCACTCCTCTTTTTAGCCTTGACTTTATGGCTCCCCCCCCCCCCCCACCTGCCAACACAGTTTATTGATTTGTATTGTTTGTTTCTCTCTCTCTCTCTTTCTCTTTTTCTCTCTCTCTGTCTCTCTCTCTCTCTGTGTCTCTCTCTCTCTCTGTGTCTCTCTCTCTGTCTCTCTCTCTCTCTCTCTCTCTCTCTCTCTCTCTCTCTTTCACTCACACGCACACACGCTTTATTTTTAGACAGATTTCTATCCACTACAACATGGCTTTAGATCTAAAAGCACTTGTCTTGGTTATTCTGGTTTGAGTACAGTAACGAAGTGAAAAGTAACTATTTACCCTTTACAGGGGCGTCAGCTTAAGTCGATTCTGCTTTTGGATTAAAGAGAAGGGTGTCTCAAAACATGATGTACTGTTTCTGCGTTGTCATTGTAAAATTCGATAATGCTTTCGGATTAAAGAGAAGGGTGTCTCAAAACATGATGTACTGTTTCTGCGTTGTCATTGTAAAATTAGTAATGCTTTCAGAGCTGGTCTTCTGTAATCGGGGTTGAGCACTATAGTTTTATGTGCTATATGGATGTCAGACATTATTATTATTATTATTATTATTACCATCATGGTCTTCATATACTATTATTATTATTATTACTAAAATTATTATCTTATTATTATTATTATTATTATTATTACCATCATGGTCTTCATATACTATTATTATTATTATTACTAAAGTTGGGTACGATTCTTCAAGACTTTCTCCCATTATGATATGGCAGTAGGTCAAAGAGTACAAACCTTCACAATGCTGGTACAATGATAAGAATAATTTCAGCAGCAACAACAACAAAATAAAAATATAATTGCTTTTTTTGTCCTCCCTTGCAGACATGTCTTTGTACATAAACAGCAGCAGCAGCAGCAACAACACGGAGCTGACGGTTGTCATGGACACAGTGGGTGTGTCTGTCCTGGTGGAGGTGACCCCTGACCTCCTCAACATCATGGTGATTGCAGGCAGCCAGCTCAAAGGTGAGGAGGAGGAGAAGGAGGAGGAGGGTGGTTGGTGGATGTTCTGGTGGGGGAACCTGCCTGCTCTTGACACTTCTTTTCATTTCGCTACTCTAGAATGACAAAGTTTTGTCTGGTCATCAGCTAGTTTTGAGAAAATTGTCGTCAACAAGTTTTCAGTTTTCACAACATGGTCAAGCTTTTTCGAATGCAATTTTTTTAATGTTATTGATAACGACTCAGAATATCTTAGGATTTTGATGGAGCAGATGAAACATTTGGTCTCTGACCTCATGGTCTTAGTAACTCAAAACGGCCAAAAATGTAAATTGGACTTTGCAATTTTAAGGTAGCGATTTTGCTACTTTCTTACTGATTGACTTTGTAGCAGAGTGCATGTGGTTGGAGGACCCATTGGGAAGTTTTGCTTCTATACTGACCCTCTCTCATTTCTTTAGGTCTTTCTTGGTTTTTTACCGCGAACTTGAATGGCTGGTGGGTGTTTGGCGGGTGCTCTGGTGTGATTTGCTCCTTTCCTCGCTTGTAAAAAACCTCTTATCTTCAACATTTATGTAACCTTATTGTGTTACTAGTGCTGTAAAATTAATAAAATGAGCAGATGACTTTTACTGAATTGATGTACTTCTTTTGAACTCAAAACAAAACTTCTTGTTGACTGTTACATTTATGGCTCAAAGTGTGTTGATTTGTATCTCAAAAACTCCACACCAGCTCATTACAAACTGACAATTTTTATGCTAACTCATAAGCTACAACTGGTGGCCCCAGTAGACTAGTAGTTAGGCAACTGGACTCATAATCATGAGATTGCAGGTTCGAGGCTCAGTTCAGTCGGATGTTGTCCTTTAGAAAGAAACTTTATATGAATTTTCCAATTTGACTTGGTCCAAAGTGGACTTCATGTTCGGAGGTCCTGTCTCATACACATAAATTATCTTACTGTGTTGCAAGGGTCATAAAACCTACACCATTTCATACATTTTTTTCTTTCAAAGTACTTTTTGTTGCAAGGAAGTGTTTTTGAGACCAGCTGTTGCAGTGGGAAGTATACCTTCATGTCTACAGACGATAGGGAAGGTTTCCATGTTTCATTTAGCCTCTGTGATGATGGTGCATATGGCTAACTCGGCCAATTCATTATGATTCATAGATACATTTTTCTGTGGTCAATGTTTTTTTTCGTCTTTGACATTGGAGTATGCGGTTGGAAGGTGTTGCCAGTGGGACCTGTTTCTTGACTGTCCTGCTTTTATTTCTGTCTGTGCTGCTTTCTTTTTCTCAGCATTAAATGACAGTTATTGATTTTCTGTACTCATACTTAAACAAGTTTGTAAATTCGAAGTATTAAATTGTGTGGACTCTTGATTCGGTAGGCCAACTGGAGGGTCTCCTGGGTAACTATGACGGTGACAGCAGCAACGACTTGATGGGCTTTGACGGGACGCTACTTGACCCATCAGCCAGTATGCGAGCCATACACTACGGTTTTGGCATGACGTGTAAGTTGTTATGAGTTTGTTTTTTTTCATTTGTTTCGATCTATCGCCCAGTAGGCCCAGAATTAAACTTTGAACGCTTGTTTATTCCCCGCCCTCACCCCCACCTCTCTATATTTTTAAGGTCATTCCACAAATAAGTCCACATGAAGCTTTTACTTTTTTCCAGATCAGAAAAGTATCACACATGATATGCCTATTTAGCAATGTAGATTGTATATATGGTACGTGGAGGTTACATTTTGAAGAATGCAAAGCTTCATGATATGTTTAAAAGGTAAATGTGATGACATTTCTCTAAATTATGAGTTTATTCTCAGATTAAAGATTGAATGAACATTGAAATGTTGGCTACGAAGAATTAAATGATCTATTTGTGTGTGAAGAATAATGTACACTTTCCAGGGGAGGTACTTTGAATGTTTGAAATATATTATACACTTTCCAGGCAAGGTATTATATGTGGGTGTAATATACACTTTCCAGGAGAGTTGTTTTATGTGTGAGAAATATATTATACACTTTCAAGGAGAGGTATTAGCTATATGTTTGTGAAATATATTATACACTTTCCAGTAGAGGTAATGTGTGTGAAATACACTTTCCAGGGGAGGTAAACGCCAACGACAGCCTGTTCACAGTAATGGCTGCATCAGTGTTTGACAACACGTTAGAGTTCCTAGCAGACGATGATGCAGCCTCGTCTACGGCCTACACGCCCATCTTCCCTGATGAGATCATGCAGCGAGGGCTTCGCAACGACACGAAGGAGATCTGTGGTGAAAACGTGCAGTGTATCTTTGACTATGAGGTTACGGGCAAGGAAACCATCGCCAAGTCAACCTTGAAGTTCAACGAGAAGTTTGAGGCCAGGAAAGAAGAGCTTCAGCCAGGTAAATTTTCCACGCAGGCCAATTGCCCAGTCATTCCCGCTGGAGAAAACTATCCTGTTCCATTTGTTCCGTAGTTTTTTAAAAATTCTCCTTTATCACACATGTACTTACTATTATTATTCTATAGTTTGTTGGGATTTTTTGGTTTGTTTGGGGGAAGGGGGGGGGATTACAGTGGGTTGCATTTTACTATGCATATGAAAGGCTTGTATTTTGCAAAAGAATGCCAAATTATCATAACAACTTAGAAGCGAAATCAAAGTCGCAGGAGTTAAATAACTGTTGGCCCAAGAAACCTCACTTTATCTCTGATAAGAGATACGCCCTTAAACAAATTAAACATAAAGCAGGTGAATAACAATTATTGCTTAAAACGAGGAACGAAAGGTTTAATTGGTTGCAGAGAAACAAGTGGTAAGACCTCTTTACATGTAGCCATAAAAGGTTGTTTGTATTGTATTGGTAGACGGCGAAAGATCTTGTTAGTATTTTAGCGCCTATAAAATGGCAGCTTGAACTGTTTGCTTTCCTGGAAGTTGAGATTGTTTCAGAATACCATCAGATCTGTTGGGGTAATAAATATACAGGGATGCCACTTTTCCGCTTTTTTGCGGAATTTCCGGTATTTTGATCCTGATCCGCTATTCCGTTATTGAGATCGAGATAGAATCTATAGTTGGGAAAAAAACAAAACAAAAAAACCCCCACACACACAACAACTTGCACCAAATGTTCAAATAACTGGGAGAAAAAACCCCAGAAGAATTGCGCTAATCTCAGCAAGTCGGGAAAACACACGCCGGGCTGCCGAGATCAAATTGATATTCATATGTTAGCAAGACCGTAGCGCGTTGATTTTCAAAAAAGTTGAGTGGCATCCCTGAATATAGACTAAATTGCATAGAGCATGCTATTGAGCGGAAATTTGTACTATACAAATGCTATTTATTTGTATTATTATTATTGAAAGGCTACAGCTTCTCATTATGACATTTCCCTCTTTTCGACAGTTGTAAGGTGTCCCTACGTGCTGGCCATTGCCAACGGCAACCGTACCTTACATGGCACCAAAGTGGGCGACAACGTCACGTTCGAGTGCTACCCAGGATTCCAGCTAATCAGTGGGGAGGCGGTCATTGAGTGTCAGAGCAATGGGGAGTGGAATGGTTTTCCTCCTGATTGTGTCAAAGGTGAGGAGAGGAGACTTTTGCATTTGCCCACACTGTTATACAAATGTTGTGCAGGCTCGACAAGTATTGAAGTAAAATCAGAGCTCTATGAATGATTTTTTTGCCTTTCGAAGAATCAAATTGGATTAGAATGAAATTTGATGTTTGCCCTTGAATTTTGTTTTTGTCAGGTCAAATGCAACTTGCCGTAAATGACACGGAAATGCTCATTTTTATTTGCGCTGTTTTCACGACTTATCATAAATGACATGGAAATACACATTTTATTTGCATTTACTTTAGTGGATTCGTAATAAACATCTTTTTTGCTAGGCCGTTTTTTTCATATTGTCAGTGTTCTGGATTTCAAGAGACTCCATTTATTTTTGTCACAAATGTTAAAGAAATATCTATTCTGCTTCTGATTGAAATTTTAGAAGATAACTTGCTGGATATTTGTAAAAGACAAAGAATAAGGTAAAAATACATGACTGGGTTGAGGTGGCCAGTGCCCCGTGAGGGAAATATAAGCAACTGGGCCTGGGAGGATGAGAACTCACAAGGGAAATATACGCTGGGGGGGGGGGGGGGGGGGTATAAGCGTCAAAATTATACTAGTGGGGGGTTGGCGGGTGCTCTGGTATCCTTTGCTCCTTCTTTCCTATCAAACATCTGTCATCCTTATCTCTCCATCTTCTTTTTTTCTGTTTGTTACTCTCTCTATTCTTTGGCACTTATATAGCCTAATTGTGCTGCAAGTGCTGTAAAACACTTACGAGAACAAGAACAAACTAATACTCATCAACCCACCCGTGATGCTGATCTGCTGTCCCTCTCTCCTCGTCCAGCCCCAGCAAAGAAGGAGGAGGACCTCCCGCTCTTGTACGTTGCCATCGGCGCCGCGGCTGGAGGGTTTGTGGTGCTGGTGGTCATCGTGCTGCTGTCCCGAGCGGCCTGCAAGAGGTGCTCGCACAAGACTAAGTTTGAAGCAGGGTAAGTGGCCGAGGAAAAGGTGGCTTCATTTTATTTTTTTCTGCTTTGGATATAATGGGGGTATTTTTCTAAGAAGACTGCTGAGAATATGAGAATATCTTGGAAGAAAAAGAAATCAAATGAGGTAGTACTTGATGAAGCCCACGTGGGACACTCACTGTTAAACACAATCGGGAAATGACAAATACAGTTTTTGGGACCCCTGAATAGACATAAAGGTCTTGATCATCTAGCTTTCGCTGGCAAAATTGAAGGCAAACGAGGCAGGGTAGGCCCAGAGCAACCTACTTAAAGAAACTAAACAGATGGGTAACGGGAAAAGATCAGGGTAACATAGCCTTTTTATGAGCATATGAGCAAAGGAATGAATGGAGAACCATGATCACCGACGTCTGCCGCAGATTTGGCACTTAACGGTGATGATGATAATGGTTTGGGTTGGCAGGTGCTCTGATGTGGTTTGCTCCTTCTTTCCTATTAAACATCCATTGTGCTTATCTCTTCTCCTTCTGTTTTGTGTTTTTTACTCTCTAATCTCCGTCACTTATATGACCTAATTGTGTTGCAAGTGTTGTAAAACTCTTATAAAACTAAAAAAATGTTTTGAGGACTTTTTTTTGTCTAAAAGTAGCTTGAGTTCCCCTCTATTTGTATTTGTGTATAATAATGGAATATTTCACTTGTGATTTTCTAAATGTCCGAACTGTACTGTCTGCAGACTTATTCATCTTTGAGAATTCACATTTGATGCTGGGAAGTTGTTCATTTGAAAAGTTGAACGTTTGAATTTGCCTATAATATCTGCATTACTCCCAAAGGTTTCCCTTCTTTTTCTTATTCTCACATAATAGTGGAGAGAAAAATGCTTCCTCTTGCTGCCTTTGTCCTATGCAAAGAAAGCCTAGATACCATCAGGTTGAAATAAAGACAGTGTGTGTCAGTGATTTTTTTTTTGGGGGGGGGGGGGCACTACACTGTAGTAAAATTTTCTCTTATGTTAGGACAAAGGCAATAAGTAATACGTGGGTTTTGCTTTATGTTGGGGAACACAAGTAGTAGAGAGTAATATAATTGAGATTTTAATTGCTTTGTAGGAATATTTGTTGTTAAGGTGTTAATGAAACCACAACATCCTTCTTTGGTAAACACATGTTTATCTTATCATACTCATATATATATGTACTCTGTTCCCAGCTCGGAATTCGATCACCAGATTGAGCTTCCCAGCATATTCCCCATCTCTGACATTCCAAGCCCAGTTTTTGAGAACCCCGTTTTCATGTCCAGGTGAGAAGCAAATCGTACGGTACTATTGGACTTTGTTATATCGTCGATGTAAAGTGAGATTGCGAAAACAAGTGTTTGGTGGGACGTGGTTACATCTTCCACGAAGTGAGACCATTATGATAGTAGGGGGAAATCACTTTATAAGTTGGGCTATTCGGTGGAACTCGGTCATAACGATGCAATGAGACTCTGCTGGCTATAACAGAAGTATGTTGGGACTCAGTGATAATATAGATTGTAAAGCACATAGAGCTTGCTGTTGAGCAGGAATTGTGCTAAACGAATGCTGTCTGTCTGTCTTCTCTGTCTGTCTGTCTGTCTGTCTGTTATTGTTATTTTTATTATTATTATTGTTATTATTATTATTATTATTATAATGACATTACAATGCAGTCTGTAAATTTATGGTTAGGGTCTTTGCCTTGCTAATGAAAAAGTGTGAGTTTGATTCCCTCATTATATATGATCAAGTGCTTGTTTTTCTGCTGCTAATATCCCACACATTCCAGGTTGGTCCTGACAGACATAGTCAAAGCAGCTTGCCTGTTAAATGATATAAAATGTGTCAGAGATTTTTTTTTTTTGCGCTTTCACCCTCATTACAAGCTTAGGTTCCGTAGATCTGTTCATTGTGTATGATTCCTTTCAAAGTATTATTTGTGGGTGGTTTCCAGAAGCTCTAGTGTGATTTTTTTCCTTCTTTCTTATCAAACATCTATCGTCCTCATCTCTCCTCCTTCTCTTTGTTTCTGTTACTCTCTTGTAACACGTCTAACCTTCGGCACTCATATGATCTAATTGTTTCTGTTACTCTCTTGTAACACGTCTAACCTTCGGCACTCATATGATCTAATTGTGTTGCTAGTGCCGTAAAAGGCTTACTAATGCTAAGAAAAATGTTTTTTAAAGCTTGGATTTTGCTTTTCTCCTCAGCCTGCAGAAACTTAGTGAGAAAGGAACTTTCCATATTCCCCGGCCGACGTACGTGGATCCCAATATCTACACAGAGTACTTCTAGGCTAGTTGTGAAGACGCAGTGAATACTGTTCATCTCAACCTAGTCTTACCTGAGCAACAGCATGGAGAGGAGGTTCGCGTCTGTAGTCAGATGTTGCTGCCCCGTTATTGGAGAACCTGTCCCAAGAGCAGTCATGTCTGCCACTCTGAGAAGCTCTGTTGCAAAGTCTGACAGAAAGAGTCAGCCTTGTCTTACGTTTTGGAAATTATTGTTGCAAAATCTTGAAAAGTAGCCACACTGCAATGTCAGTGCAACTTGAGTACAGGAAGTTTAGAGGTGCCAGCAGTTCTGAGTACTTAGAATCTGCATCGACTTTCTGTTCTTAGGATGCTACGCCGAACGCTCATCATCTGTGACTTGCTGCAGTGATCGTCCTGTTGCTTGAAGAAGTGATCGTGTTGACTTGCTGCGGTGATCGTGTTGACTTGCTGCGGTGATCGTGTGGCTTGCTGCAGTGATTGTGGTGGCTTGCTGCAGTGATTGTGGTGGCTTGCAGCAGCGGTCGTCGTATGGCTTACGGCTGTGATCATGTGGCTTGCACTGCAGTGACCTCTGCCTCAAGAGTACCTGAGAGATTTGAAGAACTGTGTGGTGTGACATCATGGCCGCTACCCCAAGCACGCGGAGCTAGCGTAGAGAGCTCTCGTGCCACACACTTTATCTATATCATGAAATATATCACCTCGCACATTATGTGCACCAAAAAATGGGGTTGAGGGAAAAAAACAGAAAAAAACCTGACTGGTTGCCAGCAGCACCTACAGTCTTAAGGGATGTCTTTATCACCCCAAGCTCTTCTCATGCCTGATGGTCTTCCTTTTCCCCCCCCCCCCTTCCCCCTACAGTGAGGAAAACAAAATGGAGGACTGTTCATCTGGCTTTGTATCCCAGCACCTAGTAGACCCTGGACTTCTTCTTAAGAACAAGTTTTTAATTTTATTGATTGAACCTCTCACACCTGGACTGTGAAAAGGATTTAACTTCATTTCTGAATGTGCTTAACAATAAGCATTTGACTGGATTTTTTCCTAGAAAGCCGTAAATTTGTGGAGGATGTCTTTGTCTCCCTCATGTGCGACCGTGAAGCAGACTTGCTAGACTTGTTACTACTTGACACCTCCAGGGATGTTTAAAGTAGTATCAGTCATGATTTTACGTTGCTGTTTACAGCATAACATGTTGCACAAGAACTCTTTTCTCACAGAGTCAAATTATGGCAGAGCATTTAGTGGATACTTTTATCTTGGATCATGAATGGAAGTGGAATACAAAATTTCTATGACCCTGATACACCAGTCAGGGAATATTTTCGTTTTTATGTGTGTTTTGAGTTTTGTGGCCACCAGTTGGAAGTTGGAAGCTGAAGTCTGTAAGATAATGAGTCGGAACATTTTAGTTTTGTGTCAGCTTTTGCGGAGAATTGTAGTCATAGATTCCTGAGCATTTGTTGTGTATTTCTGGGCCCTGACTGTCTGATACAAGAATGGTTGAGTAGTAGTGTGGATGAAATGAAAGCAGTGTGGCTGCATCTACCTATTTAAAAGTGTAAACCACCTTAGAATTATACGCTGCTTGCAGATAAATGCCACTTCATGCAGTTGAAATGTTGCTCGAGTCTACAGCTGGCATTTACTTTGAATGGATGTTTTATTGAGAAAGATTTGCTACTCATTGAAAACTGTTCATCTGATTCAGTCGCACACAGCTGTATGCCATAAGTTTGCCAGGGCCTTTATTGTTGGTCATGCTGTGCACCCTGTACAATCTGACTAGGTCTCTGCCATTAATTTCTGAAAATCTGCCTTTAAATATATTATATATATAATATATATATTATGTTTGTGAGTCTATTCAGCCTGTGCAAAGTTTTTGATGCCATGTCTTTGTAAAGTAGTTGTACATGTTTTCTAGTCATCCAACTGCATTCAATTTCATCTGATTCATGTTTTTGAGATAGCTCATTTGTGCCTTCATTGTATTTCGAGTTTTTAATTACATACTTAATTGTTCTGTGAAATTCTCCTAGTAGTCTTAAACTCAGTGAAAGGATGATTTACATAATTTATTCCTGATATGTTACCATTTCCCCCTTGTTAAACGCCTTTCATGCTGGTTGTTTATTGCTGAACCTTTTGATTTTGTTTGTTTTGTAAATATGCCAAATGTGAATATACTTGAGTTGTACTTGTCATGTCTTCTGTATCAAACCGCTGAGACATGCAGTTCATGTTCTGTCTTATTACAATCTACAATCTTTATCTTTGCCAGAACGTGAATCTTTCTCGTTCTACTCCTACTGACTGTTTAAACAGAAGGCTCGAGGGAACTGTACGAGTGGTTTGAGAGAAAGGTACAGTGATGATGCTAATGTAAGACCTCATTCACGCTTCTTGTCCTTTCATTTGGACCTGAAAATTAAATATTCTGAGTCAGTTTATTCATTGTCTAAAACATAACATGAGCTAATGGGTGAGTCGGGTTTGATCATGCTACTGTTGAGCATCGGTACGCATAAATACAGACATTATTGTTCCTCGGAATTGATTTTTTTTCCTGAAACAGCAGCCGAGGGTCAAGGAAAAGATATTTACTAGCGCAGAGTGATTACTTTACTTCTGTTTGGTTCTTGAAGTCAAGGAGACTTCTTTTGCTTTGGCTAAGTTATTGGATTAGTTCTTTTATTCACTTTTGTTTGAATCAGCAGCATTGTGAATGAAAGTGGAGTCATGTCAGGATGATAGTCGACCATCAGTGAAACATTTGGCCTAATCTAACCTTGGCCTTTGGAAGTGCTTAGCGTTTGGCATAGATGATGACACATATGTGGTGTTAGGGAATTTACATACAAGACAAAAATGTAAATATGTACCGGTAGTTTATGTCGTGTAGAATCACATCAGATATACTGCATAACTTTTAACTGGTTTGTGAGTGATGTCTACTCAAAATAAGACATAAATATCAGTCATGTCTTCCTGGTTTAAAAGGGAGAAAGCAGCTGTTTTTTGTTTTTTTAGTGAGCAGACGGTTACTGAATCATGCTGAAGTTTTCATGATTTTTATTAGTCTAAATATTTAAAAAATCTCGTGTAAACTCAAGTCACTGTTTCAAAAAATTGCATCTCTGAAGGCAAGAACATGTGGCTTGATCAGCTCAGAATAATGGAATAGCTTTCTTCATGGTGCTGGTCAGCAGAGGGCAAGCTACATTTATGCTCTGTTATTTTTTCCCACAGTAAAATCATAAGGATACTGTGCACACCTTGGATGGAACAGAAGGGTTGAAAAAATACTAATACAGTATTGTGTTCTTATTTCTCAACACGAAGCAAATGTTGAAAGAACTCTGATGTACTTTTCATTTCCTGTGTTGTTTCTCATAATGTTTTTGTTAGGAAATTTGTTTTATAATCGGCCCTTTCACTCCTCTCCAGTTCCTGCTTTCTGTCCTTGTTTACGAATGTCACAGTACAATAAGGTCATGGTCACAGGAACCATGTTTCATAGGACAGCCGATTCCTGACTTTCTTTGAAGAGAGCTGCTTCATTAATTTTTCAAATTTTATTTGGGCGAAGGAAAAAGATGAGGGAAAAAACTGAAGGGAGCTAGAATGAAGAAACTGTTTGGGTCTTTTGAAATCAAAATGATATTAATAAAGGAAGAGAAATGGAAATGTTACTCTGAACAAATACCAAGTTCTAGCTGAGAAAAAGCTGGAGACAAAAAAATAAATTTATGTGGTGTAAATATAAATAAACTGGGCACTGAGAGGTCTAAAGAATTTTCCGAGATGCCCTCTATGATATATTAACGTTCTACACTATACAGGAGCCAAGAGTGTGTAATAACCTGTGATTATTTAAAAGGGATAACATTTATAGAAAAACTGAGAAGATAGAGGCAGAAGTTAACAAAGTGCTTTAAGTTTATTTCTGTATGCAGAAGATAGAGGCAGAAGTTAACAAAGTGCTTTAAGTTTATTTCTGTATGCTTTGTTGTATTTTTTTGTCTCCATGCATTTTTTGTGTCTTGCAAGGCACTGTCTGGTTTGTATTCTCAGTTTTGTTTCTTTCACTTTTCTAGTCAGTTTCACTGTTGCCATCTTATTCATAACTTTTGTTTTAATGTAGCTTTGTGGTTTGTTTTGTTTGTTGTTTTTTTTAATAGTTTTTCTTTCAGTCAGTTTGTATTGTAGATTTATAATACTTAGTGATAGTCAGTATCAATTTATTTGACTTGAAGTCAGTTTTTCTGGTCTTTTCACTGTCGCCATGCATTGTTCACAGTTCTGTTTTTACTGGTTATTAATAGTAATCATGTTTGAACTACTTTAACCTTATTTACATGCATATCCCACCTATGATGCTTTATAACCTTTTGTAGCCATACTGATTTCTTTTTCCAACACCATAACATACGCATCTTTCCTCCGCATTCTGTCGGTCCTTCAGGCTGTTTTGTTTTTCACACTGTTTTGCCAGCTTTCTTTTCCTTCTCAGTTGCCTGTACTACAACCAGTCAAAAGAGCTGACACTTAATTGTTTACCGTGTGTGATAGAATCAAATGTCCTGGAGCTTTCTGTGAGAATCTACATGTGCAATACGGTGCTTTCTAGTGGAGATATAGCAGGACTTTGTCAGGTCTGACTATTTGCTTTGATTTTTGTGGGAACTTATGAATGGAATTACAAGAGTGAATGCGTTTATGTGAATTTGTGGGGAGTTTCATTTGATCAGTAGCTGATGGTGTGTGAGTGTGATTATCTAGATCTATATTTATGGCTTTGTTTTGTTCCCCCCCCCCAAATCACTTTTTTTATAGAGGTTAGGATTGCACACTGTCACTGTTCAATAATTATGAGTTCTTTGCAAAGAGCCAATCAGAGGAAGTTAATACTTATTTAACCCTTTCTTGTTTACATTCTTTGCTTTAAAAAAAAGGCTACCCATTTGTTCAACATCTTGTGCACTTGACAACTTTTTCATGATCAAAATTGTTTCGCTTTTGATGAGAGTGAAAATAAATTGGTAATTGCTGGCGGGGGAGTCTCACACCCTTTCCTCCTCAGAAATAAAATCAAGGTTACAGCTTAATGCCTGTGATCTATTATAATTATAGTATTGCTGAGCTTACGATACAGGATATTCTGATGGAGAAATATGTTCTGTGTCAAGCTGATTTTGGCCAGGTTGAACACTAGTGATGCATTTTTCATTGGGTGGTTTCGTATGGGTAGAACTTGAAAGGGTTGATGCAAATTTGTATATATTTTTTTCCCCAACTGGGTATTTTGAAGCTGAACATAGCCTATTGAAATTCTTTGGATTATAGTGTGCATTTGGGCAAATATCATGTGATGTTTCGAAATCATCTTTGTAAAACAATAGAGGTGGGGTAGGGGTAATGTTAAAGTTGTACTAGTGCTCTTTGTTTTTGTTTTTTTGTTCTCTTCCTTCGCTACAAGAGTTTTTTTGTCTAGTAGTTTGGGACTAACGCAATGGCTGAAAAACCGTTTCCCCTTGTAAAAAGTTTCAGTAGAATGCTTACAGGTGAAAAAAAAAATTCTAAATGCTGTTGAATTTTTATGGCTGAAAATGAAAAGCTTCCAGTCTACGTGTGTATTGCTTGATAGTGCAAAATGTTGTGTAAAACTCAGTCTTCGATCCGGTGCTGATTATCGAAAAAATGGTGTGTGGGTGGGTGTGAACTTTGCCTTTTGTATGAACATTCAGCTGGTAGTTGTCCATTTACATTTTGTTTGTATCATGTGTGGATTGTTTGATGGATGTATGGTTGGCGAAATATGGCTTTCATCATGTCCACAAGGGAGGAACTTCAGTTTGTGTGTGAGGTGGTTTCTCTTGTATGTGTCGGAGTATTTGTCCAGATTTTTTTTTTTTTTAATTTCTCTTAGTTTTCTCCTAATTTGTTTACTTTCATTTCAGGTTATGTGTGATTTTGAAAGCACCTCAGAATAATGTATTGTTGACTTAAAATTGGCAAAGGAACATCTGTTTGTTTTAATTCTCTGTTCATGTTTATGATGGCAGTGTTTTACAGAGCTCGCAACTGCATAAGGTCATATAAGCATACGGAACACATTTTCAGTTTGGTAGGAATTAATTTGAATTTTGCACAGAGGCAGCCGAAGTCTACTCTTATAATCGATTTTAGGACCAAGGGATCATTAACATGTGCAATTGACCAGCGAGATTTTCGAGAAGGTTAGGTGTTAGATCTTACCTACCCTAAGATCAGGGGTGTGGCTGAAAGAAAGCAGGAAGAAGGAGCCTAGGAGTAGCAGTAGGAAGGCAGCAGAAAGAGTCTGAAGTTGGCACCAAATGTTGCCAGGGAAGCCATTTAAGATGATTGTCTTACATTTGGTTATTGTTACTGTTATTTTTTGTTCTGTGAATGGAATTCAGAAAGATTTGCTCTGCCAAGATTGTTATGATATCACACAAAAATGATAGCTTTTCCATGCAGATTTATGCATGTAATTTTTAATGCTGATGTGAATATTTCTTTTATTGAATACACAATTTTTCTCAAGAATATTATGTCAAATTTTGTTGGAAGCTAAGTCATATTCTGGGTAGTTTTATAAGTGGCTATGGTTAATGTCTGTGTGTGTGTGTCTAAAGCATGTTGTGTATGTTTCTGTATTTAATTATCAAGACAAAAATGTTGATGGTAAATAGTCTTGTTTTGTACATAGCCAAGCGTCATAACTTAATTCAATTCATCTGCAGTTTTGTGGTGGCATGAGCTTAATTGGGTCATGTCCTTTTGTCAGGTGGTAAGCTTTACTCTGAGTCTGAAGCCAGAATGATTTTTTTCCCTCCTCTAAAATTTAGATTGTTGTTCTTTGTGCTTGGAGTTATGGAAACACCTGTTGTTAATGATAAATGCAATTCTTTACGTTGATGTGCGCTATGATTTTGGCATGTCTGGGTCGGTCCTGCTTGTTTTATTATTGCCGATCGTTTCTGAAGTGTTGCCTTAGGCTTTATGGTAATATATGTATTATAATAATGTGAACATTTCTGCCCACTTATGCTCGTGTTAATGTTACTTTCAGTGATTACCATGTACAATTTTGTTTGTTGATGCCAGTTCAAATATTGAGAGCCCTGTACCGACTTTATGTAGAAAGTGTGTGGTGGATGGGCTGTCTGAGTCGATTTGAGAGGTGTGTGTAGTTTGATTCTCATGTATAGTAACCACAGTCTGATGTATATGTCTCCAGTAGTACAAGCAGTGTAAACCTGGGGCTCAAAGCTCCTGTGAGTACAAATTTCTTTCTTTTTATCTTTTCTCTCTCAGTTTTAACTATGAAGTGATTATCATATCTCCTTGAATTTGTGAAATGGTTTGTACTTTTTCTTAAGAGATGAAGATTTTTTAAAATCACCCCAAGAAGGAAACCACTGCTATCTAACCCTTAAAGTAATGAAACAGTTTCTCCGCGTTTTGCCTTGTCTAAAAACGGAAAAGAGAGAAACAAAAGCATTGTTAGAAGCCTGCAGCTTATATAAATTGATGTTTAATTTATACTCAGAATGTATTCTGAACCTAATTCTTTAGGCCCTCAGTTTTTACTGTCTCATTATCTGAATAAGAGAAACAAACTGGGGAAAAAAAAGATGTTGAGTTCTTCCTGTCTGCAGACCCAGCACACCTCATCCTGACACATCGATGCCTTGTAGCAGATATTGTTCTGCCTGCCAAAAAGTATTCATAATGTCTCATGACATGGTCAACAGGGACCTCTTGTTTTCATGAAAGAGAATAGACACTACTTTCTCAAATCATTCTGTCAGGAAGCCCATAATTTTGGAAGCTTTTTTAAAATTAGTCTGCTGGAAACTGCTGTGTCAGCGTTGCGTTTATTCCAAATTTAAATCTTTTCATTTTTCATTGATAATTCAGTTCTTCTACTTCTGCTAGATCTTCACTCCCCCTCTAGATGTCAGAAGTTTCTGTTGAATGTAGGTTCTTTATAATTGCTGCTTCTGTTTAAAATTGAAGGTTCTGATAGCAAGTCCATGAAGTTATAGATCATTCGTCTAAACTGTCAACTTGTGCTCTTATTTCATATCCATAAGACTTTTCTCTCTATATATATGAAATTCTTGTTCTTACTTTTTGACAAATGAGTCTTTTTAGCGGCTGCTGGCATCTGCGAAAGTTGGAGTCTCATGAGCATTTCTCTGGGTCTGTTTGTTCTCCAAAATGTGTCTGATCACAGAACAGTTGAACGGTTAGGCGAACACATTTCTGTCTTTGAACTTCTGTGGCCTACTTATTGAAAGTAGATATTTTTCTTTGGTTTACATTATTAATGAAACTGTTTTGTTTGAAATGTTTGGTTTGCAAACATTTTATATCATCATTCTGAACTGAGTTATACGAAAAACAAGAGCAGACACCCTGTCAATACACTCACTCACTAATATACTTAGATCCAAGTTAGAAACTGTCAATACAAGTACCTCATATTCAGCACTTGCAGCACTTGCATAAACTTATCACTCATATTACAAAATTACAGTTAATTTTGTTCTTTTAGAGCACCTCTCTCTCTCTCTCTCTCTCTCTCTCTCTCTCTCTCTCTCTCTCTCTCTCTCTCTCTCTCTCTCTCTCTCTCCCCCCTCTCTCTCTCTCTCTCTCTCTCTCCCCCTCTCTCTCTCTCTCTCTCTCTCTCACACTCTCTCTCTGACTCTCTTTCTCTCTTGCTCTCTCGAACACACACACACACACCCACACCCACACACACATACAGATGGGCGCGCACTCACACACATGCAAACACACTCACATATATTTATGTATGTATATCCCCCCTCTCAAAACACATCAACACAAATGCAGATATTACATAGTAGTCTACGTCCATTATCATGTTATTTGCTTTTTTGCTAGGAATACTACAACTGAATGCTATTGGAGAAAGACAACACCCCCCCCCCCCCCCAAACCCCCCACCCCTCCACCCTCACCCCAATTGCCCTCTTTTTTGTGACACCTTCTTCATAACGTGTGATAATCTTTATACCTGAGATTTTTAACTGTATACAGCTTGAAGCTGCTGGAGGTATTGCACCGGTTGCTATGTTGCTAGACAGTGAACTTGCCTGATGAACATTATTGGAACAAGAACAAATTTTGTAGCTTTGTTCATTTTTGCATAGATATATTATATGTCTCGGCTCGAGAGGCTATGATTTCAATAGGCAGAGTGTGGTGAAACAGTGTCCTCGTAAGGATGCCTCGTTTTCAGATTCATCATTGTAATTATCATTAACCATTTTTACCCTGTGCCCTGAAAATACATTTGTTTCATCATCAATAAACGATACAGTATATGAAACTTGATGCGTTGGAGGTTGTTTTATCTGTTTGAACTGTTTGCGTGTTGGTTGTAGGTGTATGAATTGGTGCTTTGTGATGCTGTAGGGGGTTTGTTATTTTTTTTAATTTTAAGGTTTCAGATTTTTTTTTTCGAAGATTTTCTAGATATCTTTTGTGTATAGAATAGTGGGGGGGGGGGGGGGGAGCAGTGCAGTTTTTATAAGTTGATGTTTTTGTGTGTTCGTTATTTGAGTTTTCTTGAGGTTTTTTTTTTTTTTAATCTATTTTGATTTTGGGAAGGGTTGTTTGTTTTTGGTGCCAGACAATCCCAGCTTCCAAACTGGATTGGAAAGGGGATGAGCCAACCTAAAATTATTCAGTAGGGTAGGCCTATAATTGTCTGAACTTACGAGTAAACTGTAGACAAATGCCGCACGCACAACTGAAGGCAAACGTACGTATACCCGAAGATAACATTAACAAGCAGGGCCAGCAATGACCCATGCATAGGGGGCTTCAGTGGCCGAGTGGCTGGTGTTTTAGTTTTTGTAAAAGTTTTACGGCACTCGCAACACAATAAGGTCATATAAGAGCCGAAGATTAGAGGTGTTACAAATAGAGTTTTAAAAAAAACACACACAAAAAAGGAGGACAGATAAGGACGATAGCTGTTTGACAGGACAGAAGACGCAAACCCAAGGAGGTTACACCTCTTTCATCCTAGCCCCATCCCCTCTTCCTTGCGCCTTGCGTGCATTCCCCCACCCCGCTCACCCCCCACAACGTGGTCCAGCCGTATAAGATTCTATAAAAAGAAACACCGCAGTTCGCGAGTTTAGACCATAGTCGGAGGCCATATTTCTGGGCGGCTAGGTTCGCGATTACTGAAAGCTAGGAATCGTAGGACTTGACTCCGAACCCAATTACTAACTTCCTAATGATATAATTTCTTCCGGTGGTTAGCAAAATATCTTCAAGATTTAGGATGACCTTGATTTCGGAACACTACAAAGCATCAGCTTTTATTTATTTTTTTATAAATTCTTTTTAAAAAAGAGAAGTTTTTACTGATTAAAGTAGCTGATAACTGTTGGTTTACGTAAAAAGGAGTCGGAACTTTTCTTCAGCATTAATCGCGGGAATCGGTTCTGGGATCGATTCTTCGCCCAGCTTTATTTTACCAATGATCCACCTAGGCCTAGGTGTGC